GATCAGAATGAAATTCCAATCCTTGGAATTTTTAAATTGCAAAATATCGTTTGCAATAAAAATGTCATTGTGCTGAGCTGGTATGTTCTAGCTGATTCTTGGGAAGCTAAAACTAAAACTAAATGAGTTCTCTTCTGTAAGCACCAGATTTGACTCTTAGCACTATTCTTTGGGTTGTGTGAAACTTAAGTCATGCATATCCCAGAAAAGAATTGGATTAGAAGGTGGGTCTTGCAATGTGACATTTGCATGGTAGCCTCCTATTCTGAGGACTAGTTTTGATTTTTAGGTATATTTTATGTTAGCGGTTTGCATGCCCTTTTCATTCATTCTTTCTCTTCCCTTTGTCAATCAGTTATTTTTTTACCATAGGCTACAAAAATACTACAAGCATTTAATTCAAGCGAGTCAATGTTTTTTCACTCCCCAAAGTACAGGAGTGCAGTCTGTGTCCAGCATAATTGCATCTATGGGTGTGTACATGCTGCATACTTGTCCCTTTTATAAGACAACTCTGGCACCTGTAATAGCCTTTCAAACAAAAATTGGAGACATGACACATGCGTCTGCAGACTAAATACAGTAATTAATTTGAGAAACAGCATATCATTGCTAGTCTGTCAGTGCTTCAGTCGGTGATTTCCTGTTCCCAGTGGACGGGTATTTTGCTCGCTTGCTTTAGAAGGCTGAATTTTTAGCACATGACACTGCTTTCACTGTAATCCAAGCTCAGAGACTAAGACAGAAAGTTCAGCTATATTTAGCTCAGTTCTCTAGGCTCTTTCTTCCTCGCTACATCAGAACTGGTTTTGCTTTTCTTCTTTTTAAAGAGTTTAAACCAGATACCTTACAACTAGCTAAAACCCCAGTCCTGCCCTTGGGAACATGCTTAGCTTGAAGCTTTTAAGTGATCTACTGAAGTAATTGGAAATTTGGACTTTTCACATACATTTAAGTTAGGCATGTGCCAAGTGTTTGCAGGGGTCTAAATTGGAGTCCTATCTAGCAAATAGCTGTTCAAAGTTAAGGGGCTTTGGTGGTGTATATTAGACTATCAGAAATTCTTTTCTTGTGACCTCTTCCTGAAAACAGTGTGGCTTTGTATGTGTTCATATAGTGTCTAATTGAGGCTTCCAGATGATATTTTAGTATAAATATATAAGAATGGAGCAATTATAAAATGCTAAATATCAGTGACTCTATCCAATATCTAGTCATTAATGCTTATAAAGTGAGAAATGTTGCATTTATGTTGCATGTACATCAGTGTTGCATTGATACATCCTACTGTCCCACTGCTGTCGGAGTGGAAGATGCCGATTCGGTTGATTGCTGCATTTTGCACAATGAGATGTGCAAGATGCATCTTAAACTAAAGCTATCCTTTTTATTATTATTATTATTATTATTATTATTAATCCATTTGATGTTAGTATTCTTAAATTTGTTGGGGATAGATGGGGCCACGTTGGAAACAGCATAGTAACTAACTGGTGTAACCATCCTGGTTCAGTACCAGCATATTTGCCCTGTTGATATACCCTCTGGGCAGAAGCTAAGTTTGCTTTTGTATCTTTCTGCTTGAATGCTGAAGTATTTTTTTTAAATGCATAATGTTAGAAAGCAATTGAAATGGGCAATATGTGCTTTAATCCAAATACACCGTTCAGGAGAAGCAGGATGAATGCAAACCCAGTCAGTGGGAAAATCAGTAATTTGTTACAGAGATGATTTCTGTGACCAACAAGAGAAGCCACATCAGGCTGTGAACTCTAAGGAGCTGTAGGAGGAAACCTCAAGTAGCAAGCATGGAAAAATGTATTTCCTTGATTATGCTTTGTACAAACCTAGCTGAGGCAGCATAGGTCAGTACAATAATCTGTTGGTGGTAGGAGGTAAAAACATCCTCAAGTGCAGTGGTCATCACCCTCAGTAAATGCGAGCTGTTAGTTTTCATTCATTTTTTGACTATGGAAAAATAATCGAGCCATTTTTTATTGCAAATAACTTGGAGACAGCAGTCGGTCAGAATACTTTTGCCATTATGGATTCCTATTTGAAACCTCTCATGTGAATCGTGTAGGTGTCTGCACACCTAATACACTAATATTGCACAGAACTCCATGGCACCCTTAAAAGATCTCTTCGCACCCCGGGGTGCTGCAACATCCTGGTTGAAAATCATTGATTTAGTGACATAGCTTGAGATGAATTGAGTGAATTGAAAGGTGTTGTAAATGCTGGAGAGAGAGAGATCATATAAAGGTACCTACAGAATTTGTAGAAGTGCAAACAGAAGGCAAATGAATGATGTTTGACCTGGAAAAAAACTCTCTTCCGTCACTGAAGTCATCTCTGTCTTTCTGACACCCGGGCTTTTAATCTCAGCCTTATGTAACTTATCTCCCTTCTCATCCTCCTTGCTTCTCCAAATCCTTTTGCTCAGATGGTTGTGTAATGCTTGCAGTGTGGCTTTGTTCTCATCTAATGCTTAAACCGCTTACAGGTTTGTTTGCTCTGTGCTTTGAGCCAAAAGACTTGGCTCTGTTAACTCAGACTTTGAGGGGACTCACGCTTTTACATTCAGAACTTCACGGTTAGTCCCACTTCTGGAGAAATATCTGGAAGCACTAAATCACTTCTCTCCATCTTAAAATTACTACCAGCATATATAGGACAATATTGACATTGTATCGGTGCCAGTGCAAATCTGGTTTAACAGGTCCCTGACTTTAGGGCCTCATAATCTACAAAGGGAAATATCCTTCCTTTCCCTTTCACCAAAGTTTGTCTCCCTACGTCCTATTTTACTCACTCCAAGCCCTAAGAAATGCTACGATTAAAATACGATGCTTCCCCTGCCACAATCAACTTACTCCGTCTCGCAAATTCTTACAATTCACATAACCCCATCTTTTCCTTCAGAGCTGGCCTGCTTACCCCTTTTTCTCTCCCCTTGCCTCTATTCAAAGCCTTGTTTGCTGCCCCCTTCACGTGAGTCATTCCAGGCCCATTGATTAAGTCTGAAATTCTCCTTGCTATCATCTGTGCTTAAGCAATGATATATATATATATGGGAAAAAATTGGAGAGAGAAAAAGGATAGGTTAGCTGGTCTCTCAATAGCGTTCAAAATTACACTTGAAGATGGAATATTTTCGTTTGGTGCCGGGGATACAATGAGCTATGGAGTAAAATGAAGCCTATTTAACTGCTCAAGAGAAATTTTGTGGCAGTAAGACTAAAGTCACTTAGGGAAAGCAGTGAGAGCCTCTCTTGAGCCATTTAATCAAAGTTTAGGGAAAGCACTGGAGACTATAGTGTGAAAGGTCAGTTCTGCATTGGCAGATGACATTTTTTGGATCTTTTCTATCTCTAATTTCAGAGCAAGAATAGCAAGGTTTAGACTGGTTGCTAACAGAACCACCACTATGCAGTATAGCTGGAGCAAATTAGTCCAGAATATTTATGGATGTCCGGGAGCACGTTTGCGGAACGTGACAGGGACTGTTTGGTGCAGAAGTTTAGTCCTTTTCATCTAAAATGTATCCATAAGTGCACGATTAATATTCTGTAGCCCTAAAACAAAATTGTAGAAAGGTGGAAGATAGAGATGATGATTAAATAGGGAAAAGCTTGCTTCCAACCTCAAGATTGTGCACGATTAGTTAGTTTAGCATATACACAGGAACTTTTGTTGCCTTTGTGACGCACTTTGAGAGGGGAGAGCTTTACTTTCTCATTTATTTGAGCAAGTTAAGATTTGGCATAATGTTGGCACTGTATCAAAAACGTCTGATTATAAAACACTTGGTTTGAAACTTGGCATAGTAGGTCTTGGTTTTGTGAAAAGGAAATTAACATTTTTATGCCGTTCTTTGCTTAAAATCTGTGTGAAATTATAATTAGATTTAGCACATTTGTATTATATTTCCTCTGTATGTTTAAAAGCCATTTTGGAGGGAAGAAGCCTAAATGGTCCGCTAGATCGGGGTGGCCAACTGACTGGGGAGGGGACAGGCAGTGGTAGATAGGGCAGGGCACAGAAAACCCAAGCAGCAGATCAGGAACGAAGCATCGGGCAGGGAGAAGAAAGCAGAGCAGCTGATTGGGCCGGAGAAGAGGATTGAAGTGGCACTCAGGGAGGGCATGGGGCTAATTTGTGGCATGCCTGCCAAAAAGATTAGCCCTCCCCCCCCCCCCACTGCTTTAATGACATGGAATTCTTATTTTTAAACACTATATAAAGTTCATGTTCATCTTAGAAATGAAAGGTGATTTACGATGAGACTTTTTTTCATATGCAGCTACAGGAGATAATGTCCTAGTAAACGATACTTCAGTTTCCTCTTCAAGTATACAGCAGAGTTGAAACGGTATTGTAGCCATGGTGGTCCAGGAAATATGTGAGAAGCAAAGTGGGTTGGGGTGGGTTTTTTGTCTGTTCTTTTTTTTTCTGGTGATTATCTTTTACTGGACCAATAATATAGTTGGGAGAGATGTTAGACAAGCTTTTGGGCACAAGTGCCCTTCTTCAGGTCCGAGGAGGAAGCGAGACCTCAAGAAGGGCACTTGCGCCCAAATGTTTGTCTAACATCTCTCCCGACTATACCACTAGTACAGGGAAAGAGATCACTGGAGAAACCTTGCTTCTATTCAGGAATGTCTTTCATTAAAAATAATCTACATTCAGCCTTCATTCCCCTTGGTAAACCTGTCTTGTCTTGAGAACAGTAAATTGTAAATTCTTTTGAACTTTGATGTGCTTTTATATTTGCAGTTTTCCGTAACACGAAATCATGACAGAGCTTATGAAAAATGGTGCTTTTTTTGTTGAAAGTTGTCTCGTTTCATGCAAACAAGAGTCAAGGCAAGGAAATACCAAGGGACTGATAAATACAAATGATATAAAGTTGTCATGTGGTGAAGTAACAATATTTTCTTACCGAGAGACAGCCTCAGCATTCAGTGCACTTGTTCACTTTCTGTTTTCCGTTCTAGAGTCGACAACTGGAGTCTGAAACTGGAACGACTGAAGAGCACAGCCTAAACAAGGAGGCCCGGAAGTGGGCCACCCGAGTAGCACGTGAGCACAAAAACATCATCCACAATCAACGGGTTAGTTGGAAAGAAATCATATAATATTTGTCTGTTTGCACTTTGAAGCCGTGCCCTGCTGCCTAACAGGGAAGCCCCAAGGAGCTCCTCTCATCTGTGTTTCTCCTCCTGCTTTCTGCTTTTTCTGTGGCGTAGCTTACCCCCCCACCCCATCTTACTCTTCCCTTCTGAGACAACACAGTCCAGCTGTCTGATAGACGTGCTGCTATGAGCATTTCTTTCCTAGACTGTTTCAAATTCTCTTGCTTCTAATCTTGTCTGTCTACTGGTTAGCCATGGCGCTCTTCTGCATCATAACTTCTGTCCTCTTCCTTCTCTTCATCGGCTCCATTGGCCTATCCTTGTTACCACCCATGCCTCTCTAGCTGAGACTGTCACTAACTGCTCTTTTTTCCCACTTGAATCTGGATCTTCTCTCACGTCCCATAATCACAAATCTGCGTTCCACATTAACAGCCTCTTTGTTTTTGGTGACGTGTGCTTCAGTCCCTGCTTCTCCCTCCATCTCTGTCCTCCTCACCTCTGACACCTTATTCCTGTCACTGCCTTCACCTCTCTTCTGCTACCATTTCTAATCTCTCACTTATCCCCCTGCCTCTCCTCCCCACCTCATCTCACTCCCTTATCAGGATTGTCCTTGAAGGTTTATCACATCTCAGCTACAATGTCTGTTCATATCGTGCTCTCTCCGGTTTCCAGTTCTAACACTCCCTCCACGGCTGCACTCTCTACTGAAGACCTCCTCTTCTCTTGAACTTCCCTTCTACATTCAGAGAACAGGAGCAATGTCAGGCTTCTCCTCTTGAATTCCTGCCCCATCCAACACTTCTTTCCTTCCTCTTTCAAACAGGATTGGATCTGGTTCGTCCAGCTCTTCCCCATCTGCTTCATCTCTGATTTCAAGTCCTGCTCCCTCCCTTCTTTCCCCTACCACCAGCTATGATCTCCCACGTTAATGCTCCATAACTTGAGCCTCCACGTTCACGACCCATCCAACCTCCTTAGCTGCCTCCTTTTTGCCCTTATCTGTTCATTTACCCTGCAGCCCTAGTTCTGCTTTCTCACTCACCCACTACAAAGGCCTTCTGTTTGTTACAATTTCACCAAGCACCACTCTCTGTGGCTGGGCTTCCTTTCTCCCACCTTCTCATTGGTCTCAGCTCCTGATGCTGTTGCAGATATTCAGGTCCAAAATCCAATTGGCTTAAATCAGCCAGCCTTCACTAATGCACTATAAATTATCCCCCAGAACAGACTCCCTTTTCTTACTCCCCTGATATCTTACCTCATGACTCGGGTACTGAGCACATGGGCTCTGATGGACCAAGGTGCAAAGTTAATTCTAAATCTGGATCCTTCTCGCCAACTCGATGCCTTCCTCACAGGAAGAAAGGCAGTCACTGAAGATTTTGTAAGTCGTATGTAACACTTTAAACTCTATATAAAGAGTATTATCAAGGGCCTAAATATTAATAAATAAACATTCAAGTGATGATGTGTTTGACTGTACATCCATATAGTAGAGAGAGGCTCAATTCATTCCCCAAGGAGCAAGTCTTCAAGAACCAATCTAACTCAGGCACGGCTCCTACTGACCACAGCAAAAGTATTGCAGAGCAGTCCAAACCTTTTAATGTTTTAAAGCACAGTGTGGTGTTCTGTCATTTTACTTTTATTGCTGGATTAATGTTGAAAAATGTTATGGAATTAGGTTTTAAAGAGGGCGTTATTGAAGAGAAGGTAGCTGATTTCAGTTATAATACATTGTACCTTTGTCACTCCCCATATGAACTAAAGCAGTTAGTTTTCCCAGGCATGGAGGCATCAGCCCTTAGGAAACTCCAGCTACTACCGAGTGGTATAGCAAAGTCTCTTCAGTTTTGTGGGATACCACAAGACCATGATATCTGTCCTCTCCTCTCTACATGGACTTCCCCTAAAATATTGAGTCAAATCCAAGGTCTTGGTTCCCCTCTCTAAAGGCATTTTTGTGCCGCGAGCCCAGCATAAGCTAATAGGTTGAGTGAGGTTCTGGAATGAAGACTGTAGCTGACTTCTCTGCTGCTCTGGCACAATGGAAATTTCACCTTAAGGATAAAGCCAGTCTGCGAGAGAGAGAGTTTCTTCCAGTGCTGGACTGAGATGGAGATAAACTCCTGCAGGAACAGAGTCCTATCACAAGCTTACATTCTTCCTTTTCCAGCACAAGATGCATTCACTGATCAACCTCGCACAGCCTGCCCAATCCAAAAAATGCCTAGAGAAGATGCACTGCATTCACCATTCTCCCTAATTCTGCCCACAGGGAAGGGGTGAGAGAAGCAATGAACCACAAAGACACTTATTAGTCACATCACTTAGCACTACGGGGAATCACACTAATACTCCGGGAATGAGGGTGATATAAGTCCCAATATGGAATGGGTTTCCAGGATCATGATACTTGTTACAGCATGAAGCTTTTGCTAGGATTTTGAAGCATCCCATAGTGTTATTTTCTATAAGAGATTGCGCTTTTAAATGAGTTTTTGCTTCAGTCTGCAGTGTGTGCACTCTGTAGGGCACTACCACTCATCAGTCTGGTACCTTAACTCCATGAATTGTCCCAAATATTAATCCAGCAGACAACGCACAAGAATGTACTAAATATGCAGCATCTTTCTCTTACTATTAGACACTCGAGGAGTTAGAGTGCCATGGCCCTGTGGTGTCTGAACAAAGCCGAGCAGAACTGGAACAAAAAATAGAGGAAGCCAGAGAGAGTATCCGCAAAGCCGAGGTAAGAGGGAAATTATTCATCATGTTGTTTGGCTCCTTATGCAGTGGCATATTTATTACAGCCACTTCATTTTTCACGTAAAAATCTAAGCTTCTAGCATCAAAGGATCAGGGGACTTTAAGATACGGCATTTCTCTTTGATTTCAGACCTCTCAAATCATTGCATCAATTTAGTGCAAGACTCAAGAGATTAAATGAGCAATGAAGAATGAAATAAAAACCTCCTGATGATCGAGTGATTAAATTTACTAGGTTTTTTTTTGACAGTACACTGATCAAGAGTGTAAGAGTTTCAGCATCTGTCTTCTCAAGTTAAAATGCTGGTAAAACAACCTGAGGCTGAAATAGTTTTCCCGTACCTAAAGAAATTTAATTTCAGCAGATGTTAATCGTAAATCCACATTCAGGGTTTGGGATCCTTGTAGCAGCTAACAAATGTTCACTTGCACTGTGCAGCAGCGAATTTGATTTATAGATAGGAAAATAGCTGAAGTAATCTTTCTGATATCTCTGCATTTTTGTATTCTCCAAACATACATTTGAAGAGGTTGTAGAAGGTTAATGAGACCTGTCCTAGATTAAGGAAGAGCCGGAATAAAGGGAATAGTGTCTTGATTTTCAACTAAGCCACGTTATGGTGTTAAAAGTTAACCATTATGGGTAGGGACCTAACTAAATCATGATTGCACAGATTTGGCAGAAATTGCAAAATCAGGTGATTTCTGTGAAATCTGTGGGTGGGGGGGGAAATCTTACTAAAAATAAAATGCTGGCTCCCCAGTGGAAACCAGCAGTCCTCCTGGCTACTGGGGGGGAAGAGGGGAGAGGGGTTGTTGGTAAGATAGCTGCCACTCCCCCTACCCTGTCCCCTCGCCACTGATCGGCCACCCCTCTCTAACCAGTGGTAAGGGGTGGGGCTTCAAGACAGATAGCCCTCAACTAGTCAGCAGTGAGGGGTGGGGCCATACAATGGACAGCCCTCCACCAATCAGTTGGGGGGTGGGGAAGGGAACACTAGCCAATCAGAGGCATGAGGGGCCCCACCATGAGAAGGCCTTGAAAAATGGCAGTCAGCCCCACGATCTGCCTGTGAAATCAGCTGGCTGCCTTGAGTTGGGTAGATGCCTAAGTTTGGGCTCTAATTTAAAAAAACAAAATAAATACCCCGTACTGGTAACAAAAGGAACTGATCTGCTTGGCTTTCAACTGCATGGGCTGCATAATTATATCTATAAAGCAAACATAATTATTTCAGGTACATGCCTTTCTCATATTGTTAGACCAGTGGTTCTCAACCTTTGTAGACTCCTGGCCCCTTGGAAAATGCCAGCTCTTAGTTTTCCTTGTGTTTTTTGACTATGAAAAAGTAATAGAGCAATTTTTCTATCACAAGAACGCAGCAAGCCCACAACACAGCCAGGCAGAATGTTTTAAATGCTGCGGGCTCCTGTTTGAAATCTGTTTGTTTATTTTGTCAATCATGCTGGCACACCTAACAGTGCTAATATTGTGAGGCACCCCACGGCACCCTTGAAAGGGTCTCAGGGCACCCCAGGGTGCTGCAGCACCCCAGTTGAGAATCACTGTTAGATATTCAGAGTACCCAGGATGCTTAGGAATGGAGATCTGCAGTTTGAGAGAGAAAGAAGGAAAAAGTGCATTAATAGGATTGCCTGCCTTGTTAATGATGGCAAGTTTTATCATCTGTTTTAAACACATTCATAATGTCATGCTCTACTCATAGAAATGTTTTAAATTGCTGTTATAACACTACTTCTTTCTTACAAGCCATGTTCCCAAACTCTTTTTTCTGGATGCAGAGCTAAATAATGACTAAAGGGCACAGGAGAGAAAAATAAAAATTGAGTAAAGCAAAAGGGGAGAATTGTTTTTGGGTGAGATCAAAAGTGGCAGGGATAATAGCAGGCAAAAATAATGTGAGAACAAGAAACTGCAGAAGAGAAGGGTCCTATACTAAAAATTGTTTGCAGAAACAAAGGAGGTTAGTACCAGTTGGGAGATGAGCAACTTCTTTGGGTTCAGTTGGAACCAAGGGTTTTTAAAAACGAGATAATTGTTAACTGAATCCTTAAATGGTTATTTGAAGGTGGTGTTAATGGTTTTCTTAGAGTAGTTTGCATGGCAAAAAAGATAAGCAGCTGAATGTGTATCTGTTGGGACACTGGAAAGCTGAAACTGCAGCAGGTATAAAGAGGAGAGGTGCAGCAGTCAAGATAAGAAAAAATGGAAGCTGAATTTCAGCAGAAATGGCATTAGGGCAGCGCCATACATGAGTGGAATTCAAATAGCAGTAAACAATGAGATTTTGAAATCATGGGCATGTGGGAACCACGAGTAGAGCTCAGGGTCAAGCTAATACAAAGGTTATCAACAGTGAAGATATGTGCAAGGTGTTGAGACAAGAGATGAAGCAGGTTTTGAAAAAATTGCCCAAGGGAAGGTCAGCTCCTTTGAGAGACTTGAGCTGTAAGAACTCAAGATGAAATCACAAGTTCAGTTGGCCAAGGCAGCCGAGAGATTGCATACAACTGAATGTAGGAGAACAAGAAGGAAATTGCAGATTCTAGATGGACCTGGCTTAATATGAAGTAAATGCAGAATAACATACCTGATTCGCCAGAGTCCAGAAAATTTAGATTGCTGTTGTAACGCCACCTCTTTCGTACAAGCTGTATTCCCAAACGTGTCTTGTGGATGTGGAGCTAAATAATGAATAAAATTTCATAGATGGTTGGGTCGGAAAGGACCTCAGCAGATTGTCAAGTCCAACCCCCTGCCCTGGGCAGGAAAGAGCTCTGGTGTCAGGTGACCCCAGCCAGGTGCAAGTCCAGCCTCCTCTTAAAGACCCCCAAGGAAGGGGAGAGCACCACCTCCCTTGGAAGCCCATTCCAGATTCTGGCAACCCTTCCGGTAAAGAAGTTCATCCTGATGTCCAACCTGAATCTGGTGTCCATCAGTCTGTGGCTGTTGTTCCTGTTTACTCCAAGGAGTGCCCTGGTAAACAGAGCAACTACTAATCCTTGTTGCCCCACCCTGCCCACTCCCTCCACCACCCAATGAATTTGTAGCTGG